GTTCAAATGCATTTGTCACAATAAATTTGTCACAAATGTATCATCTACACGAGCAAAACATCTTTGACATAAGAAATTTGTCAAATAAAATTTGCTCGTGTAAACGGGGCTTTAACCGTTATAGATCATCTCATAATTTGTAAATTATGTAACATGCACTAATCATCCTTATTTCCAGCTGAGAACTGAGCTTAATTATACATTCATGTCCCTCTGTTTCTGATCAGCTCGATCTCTTCCGAAAATTAAGGCTATGTCTTAATTGTAAAAAGCGTTCAAATTAAGACATTGCCTTAACTTTAAACCTAACCTTCACCCCAACCCCAACCCCCACCCTAACCTCAATGCCGGATCGCATGCAGTAGGAATTTTGCGTATAGGTAAATTCTACGTTTTGAAGGATTTGTAAAATATGTCTGAGGGAACTGACTCGGTGTTTAACACTGACATTTCTTACAAGTCATTCAAAACTTATAATTTACCTACGCAAAATTCATTTACTGTGATCACAGAAACTTTGATAACGCGTAATCCAGCCTTCACACAGTATGAAAAAGCATTTTACTTTCTTCCAGGGAACACAAGCTGCAATAACGTTGACGCACTTTGTTCAATCACCATTGTGTTACTTGCTGGGTATATTATTCTCACTGTGACTTGCTTCACTGCATCAGTCTTCGGTTTTCTAGCTACATACTATGCTCCTACTGTAAGTACAGTGTATTTACCTTATTTGCTATGATAAAAGAAAGTTTGCCTAAATGAGTTATAAACAATGAGATATGTAGCTAAAAACGTATTCCATATTACACGACAGTAGATGGAAAGATCATCAATTTCTTTTTTCCAGCATTTATATAAACACAATGTTTTGTGTATTTCATCTGCTAGACCAAGATTTTGTCATGGGGATATTAAAATACTCTTCTTAATTAAGTTATTCTTCCCTGCTTATACAGTATTCTAGAGGCAAAAGAAACCTTTGCATGCTTGGCGGGGGACAACATATTCCACTGAAGGGGCCAAAACAGAGGCAGGGCGGGGGGAAATGCTTCCCATGCCAGTTTATGGTATTAAAAGAGGTTCTCATATTGGGCCAATAAAATATTTACATTTGATTTTATTTAATTGGTTGACCGTAACTTAAATGGATATATCTTCTTGATATATTAAAAAATAAAATGTTCTCTTTCTTGGTGGTTTTAATATAACTGTTTTTAAATAACCATATTGCTCCAAAATATTTGTAGTGCCATAGCATAAAAAATAATCTGCCATTTTGAGTGACAAAAATATTTTATTCAACCGACTACTACACAGCTGCGGACATTTCAAAAAAGTTGAAGAAGCAATAAATGAGATGTACATAAGTTTCATCTTGTCCTTTATGCCGAGAAATGAAGACGTCCAAGAGAAATATTTACAGCTAAATTCAGCTGAAATATACAAGTCGTTAGATTCTGAGAATCAATTTTATTATACGAAGCATTAAGAACAACTTTTTCATTAGTTGAAAATGTATTCGACTATGGATCACAATGTTACAACTCGGCAAAGATAAAAATTACTATTATCTAGTCTATCTACAATTAACAAAATTGAAAACAAAATTGCATTAATAAAGGAAATATATAAAACCTAGTTGAAAAGTATATCATGGCTAAAACCTTGAATAAGCCGTCAAGTAGAAAAGGTGGTGAACTATACTGAAACGAAACACTGATATTTCTAGTCTGCAAATGAATTTCGCGAAAACATGTTTCCCGCGCTAGTTTATAATTTCAAACAAAACTTGTACAATAAACGTTCTTAATATTCCAAATCGTTTTCATTACTTTAGCACATGGTAATTTGTTTTGTGTTTGAAATTTACAAAACATTTCAAAGTATTCGATATTACAGGAAAAGGCGCCTATACGCTGCTATCCAATAATAGCGCCTGTCCAACATCGCAAAATACCAGACAGGCACGTGACCCTAGTTAAAGAATTGTGATTGGTGCATCACATGTTAGAGTATATAATATTAGCATATATATTCCAATGATATAGGCCTGTTTTCACAATATTTCAGTTTGCACTTTGATGAAGGTCTGAAGCATTTCGTTTATTAAAAAATTATTCGCAGTTGATCACCTTTTCGATCGACTATGTTGTGAATCCTTCAGTTCTACTACAAATACACATTGCGTCAATTTTAATTTAAGTTCAAAAAGTGAACTGTATATACTAATACAGTTTAAAAATACTTCCATCAGTTTTACTTTTCCAAATCAGCCCGTTGTAAACATTCGCATAATGCTTTGAATATCTTCTTGTAACAACTGACTTCTGTAGCTTGACCTTGTGATAAGCACTTGAAATACTGTACACAGACGCTCATGCAACAACCTTGTTTGTCCACGTCGTGGCAGCTTTTATTCTTGTGATGATCGGTGTATTTAAGAAAGGATAATTTTTTGCAGTCCAATGGACAATCCTAAAAAATAATGAAACAGCAATTTTAAAAACGCAATACTTTGACGAATGACAAAGGTCTGCGGAGCATGATAAAAATAGATTTTATCACATTCTATATCAATGTAAAGCGCGTAAAAATTAGGAACGCAATTTTATCTGGAATTATATGAAAACCAAACTAACCAGCGACATTGCCATGGGTTTGGGGGGGGAGGTGAAGCGGCCAATATTCATCATGCATAGTGCAGTTTTAGATTCGTTCAAATCCGATAAAAATTTGAAGAGAGGGGTGGATTGTCAGTGGCTTGGGCGCATCAATAGCTAGTTGTGTTTACACTACCAGCCTTGGTATATAACCTTGGCCTGGCCTTGGCCTACAATTTGACACTGTAAACAAACTTTGGCCTAGCCTTGTTCTGACCTAGGCAAGGAAATCTGGGCTCACTACAACCGGTGGCCTAGGCTTGGCCTATAGGCTTGTGAAAATATAAACACTTTCGGCCCGGGACTGGGCTTTATTTTCATGGCAACGTCTGTCCACAGTGAGAGATTAGCGGACATAAAAATACACAAAATTAATAAAAAAATTCTTGGCCAAAGTTAGCCAGTCTCAAAAACATAGTGTAATGGTGTAAACGCGCCACATTTACCTTGGCCAGGCCAAGGCTAGGCCAAAGCTTTAGTGTAAACACGACTTATGTGACTATGTCTCACACTGAATTAAATTTGTCAAGTATTCGGAAATCAATATTTGACACTATCTGTTAAAAAGGTTATTTATTTAAACGGTTATACGTTTTCTCTAAGTGCTTCCATAACATACGAAATGCGGTATCAGAGATCCAAAAACATTTTTCCCAAAAGCATACCTTCGCCCTCCCCCCCCCCCCTCCCCCCTAGAATTGTTACACAAACAAAATTAGTAAGCTTAAGTTGCCCCTACAAAAGGTTAAGTTGCCGCTTAAGTTGCCTCTCTCTTAAGTTGCCTCTCCTATGCGTATTGATGGATTACGAAGCATCGCACGACGTAGAAAAAGTAATTCATTAATATAGAATAAAGATTTGTATGTTCTAAGACTCTAAAAAGGTTTAAATGTAGTATATTGCTCAAAGGCTGTCAGAGAGTGTTTATACGTCTGTAGTCTATGTGTTTTGCAAATTTAATACGTGAATTGTACACCGGGAAATATAAAATACTTAGGGTTCATTATTTATCGGTTGGG